TCATTCTGGCAGCATATGTCCCACCGTACATGAGCAGATACTCCAATAGTGGTATCTTGGATGATCTGACACAAGTCATTATTGAACTTTCTGTGGATACCAACTATATTCTTGTTTGTGGAGACATGAATGCACACACTAATGAAAGGGAAGACTGGATTATTGATGAGGAAGAAATTGATGAGGAAGAGTATAATGAAGAAACTGTATGCACTGCAAAAATGCTGGAACTGGCTGACATACCATTGAGGAGAAAGTCAGTGGACATTTGTAAAGACTATGGTGGTAATGGTACTGTCCTTCTAGATATGTGTAAAAATCTTGTTCTTTGTATCATAAATGGTAGATGTGGGGAGGATAAATATGTAGGGAAAGCCAGCTCAACTGATCACACTGTGATTGACTACATGATTGGTTCCCTCTCAACATTAAGCAGAATAAAACAATTTTATGTGCATGACTTTGATTGCCTGCTGTCAGACAAACATTGTGAATTGTTGTGAATAAACTCAGTACTGTTTTTCAAAACATATATTGTTTTGTCTTGATTCAATGTAGTTAGCACATATTGTTATTGCGCCATTGGTTTTGGCCTTGGTGCCCCACATTTTGGCCGTGATGCCCCAGTAAATTTGTATTTATCAAAGGCCAAAGTGGCCTTGCCCTAAAAATGACTTAATTCCAGGCCTGTAATTGTGTATTTCCTCTCCTGTTTCTGTCCTCGGAGGGGCCAGTTGCAGTGTGCTGCTTTTTTATGTGCTGCTGCCTCCATTGGCTGAGCGTCTCTGCTGACGTAAGATATGTCATGAGCGAAAATATGCACCACACAGCCAGAAAAAGAACCTCTTAAGCAGGGCAAGTAAGAATTTAGATGGGGCAAGTAGATTTGAGAAGTACTTGCCCAGCAGGGCAAGTAGGAAAAAACCTTAACGTCGAACCCTGCCTAATGGATTGCTTTGAAGATATTAGGTTTTAGATCCCTTACTGTCAGCTTAATCAGCAAAAGACTGCATTAAAATGTTTGCAGATGATTAAGTCCTTTTTTTAAATAGGTGCTGATTATAGAGTTACAAAAGTAAAGACAGATGAAATGAAATGCCAATTATGACTGATAATGGAAAAGTTACTTTCCCTAGAAAGAGGTGGAAAAAGAAAACACCTGAGAATATGAAAAAATGGTTTAATTCTGACCGTTATTGTAAAAGACAGGCATATCTTAAAGCTACGTTTTACAACACGTAAAAATGTGTAAAAAAATTTAAGGGTCAAAAGTAAAGATCACAAAAAAAGAATTGATTAAGGCACAGAGAGCATATAGAAAGAAATTTAATAATGAACTTAGAGAAATGAAGGTAAAAGACCCAAAGCAACATTGGAATATACTGTCTGATAACGATACAGGTAAAGAATGCACTGTTCAGTTGAAAGACTTTTATGAGCATTTTAAAAGCCTGGCAGATAGTGAACCTTACAAGGATCAGTTACCAGAGGAGGTCAGTAGTGATGATATTTTTGCTACTGGGGAATTAAATGGTGATTTTACAGAGGAAGAAGTTGTAAAAGGTATTGCAAGCCTTAAAGTCAGTAAGGCTGCTGGTATAGATAAAGTCTT